AGCAATTTATCTTCTCTTCTCTCTGTCTGATTCATTCGGCTTAAACAGAATAAGTCAGTGTAGCTCAAAAGGTAGATCGTGGATTACGATTAATGTGGGAAATCTTTCATTGCCTTTATTCTTACAAAATGTGTAAAATTTGTATCCACATATACAGTCTGAGGGACTTCGTATTAATAAACTGATTGATTTTTTTGAATAATTAGAAATAATTAAGGTTTCTATACATAAAACGTCTGTGTAACTTAGTCACTAATGACAGAAATGACGTAGTTACCTACTCTGTGGCAGTATGCGTCATAATTTAATATTTTCACTACAGATTGTACCTCACTATCATAAGCTGTAAACACAATACAAAACACAAACAAATAAATAAATAAATAAATTTACTCTGAAAGACTCGTGGTCTGAGACTTACATTCTGGAGAGAGACGTAGTATTTTCCTTCGTCCGATACGAGTGGAACAAACTGGCAACGGTCCGACTGCTTTAAGAACAAGGCCTCAGGGACATCGAACACTCACAGAAATTCCATAAACGCCGACAGTCTGAAAAGAAAACTTTTCATTACCTCTCCTCTGTCCGCTAGTCAACTCCTCCCCCCCTCCCCGCGATTTGTATGACTGAAGATTACTTTTCTGTCAGCGAGCAACTTCACTGGATGCATACAAACCATTTCACGTCTAGCGAAGCAAATCTACTCCTCCTAATGCCTCCGAAGAATGGAGGCTTCTCTTTACAGTGGATTATTCCATCTCTCAATGGCGTGGCGTTAGGGCCCTCGGAACGGCGCTTATGACTTACAATACACATCGTAAAATAAACCATAATTTGAAAGCTAAAACTTTTAGTATGCGCGCCATGTTGATTTCTCGGTTATGACACTGCGTCCAGTAACGTTTCACCTTCAAGATGGAGGCCATGTGTTCCTCCGAAACGTCGGCAAACGTGTGTAATACTTCACGGCGCCACAATCTCAGGTTTGAACGTCGTAAAGTCTCAAATCGGCTCACATATTTATTCATCCATTCTTTATCATTATTTAATTAAAATATTTTTACAATATTGTGATATAATCTGTCCATAAAAGTAATTAGCTACTTGGCATTTCTATTCCTTCATTTATTGCGCTCAGGTAAATGTAGTAAACACAGAATAAATATCAATAAATTTTTTGAAAATTATTAACTCCTTCTGCCACTTCGGATTGAGAATCAGAAAATTACCCGCCAATAATAACGAGAAAATGCAATGTAATATTAACAGCACAAAATGTGCGTGGGCTGGAAATCTGTGCAATAAGAAAGTAGGTTTTTTGAGTTACAAGCGAAATTCCTTTTTATCTTAAATTATTGTCCTCGCGTGCAAGTGATTGTCTGACCCGGCTGGTATCCACAGACGCTACTAGACGGACGACCTGGTCTCCACAGCCTCGTCGTGTTCCTGGTTACGACTTCCAGAGAGCGCTCGACCGCAGGACAAAGACAAATGTTACTTTTCCTGTGTTTATCTCCGCCCGGCTTCTTGCCTCCGAGAGAGACATAAAAAAACATTCAGGGATTTACAGTAACTTACAACATTTTAGACGCGAGTCTTACCGAACATAAAACTTATAGGTTTCAGAACAATGCGGGCGTCGCAAAATTTATAAACATTCTCAGAGAAAAATGTTCTTCTCGTGCTTGAATTTAACCTCGACCAGGCGACGTAAGATTTTAAAAACGCTGCCTCATCCTAGAACATGACGCATTTTCCTTCGAGGAAATCCGACGTCTGAAGTAAGGAAAAAATAGCAAACAGGACCACTCAGTCTGCTGCAAAGTTTGTCCGTCGGCGAACGAAGCACGAGACGGATTTTCACACATTTCTGTTTTACTCAGTCGCTTTTATATTGCTTTAATTTTGTTTATTTTAAGGGACAACTATAATTATTCAAAGTCCTACTTTTTAAGCGGTTAAGCCCCTTTGATACTTCACACACGACACTTCTACGTCACTGGCATCAAAATGAAAAAACGTCGTCTTCTTTAGTCACGTAAATCAAGGCTGACACTAATCCCGAGTCTGAATACTTTCCTTACTAAGCATTCACGTGACAGATAAACGTTATAAGAAGCCATTAAGACACGTGTTTCTTTTGCAACATTTCCAAACAATTAACAATGTCGAGATAACAATTGTAAAAGCTTAACGTTTAAACCAGCCTTTACTTGTCTTTTCAGAGCTGGTAAACATAAAAACCTTTAGAATTACTCCGAAACCAAAAATCTTTTTTTTTAAAAAAAAACTTATTTACACCTGTTAACTAAACACGGATATTTTTCCTAACTAACGAAGAGTTCGTTCTTTGTGTGAATTCTTAAAGTAAATTTTATATAAATAATTAAATATCGTATTTATTGTAAGTAGCCTTAAATTTCTATCGAGTTTCGCTGTTTGCAGCCGTGGCCGATTAAAGTGATCGCTTTCTGAATAAAAAACGATTGCCAGGCAAGCATATTTCTCTTTTAGCCCACAAAACACATGATAATCACTTCGCATGACAGAGAAACGGAGATACGAGTGAATTAATCCCAGGTAGCATCGATGGGATTATCCGCAATCAGCTGTTCCAAACAGCCGGGAGCACCTTTGTCATTTTGCACACCCTGTATCAGAATGTTCGGATGGCAGCGAAACTGACGGTGGTGGAAGTTCGT